AAGGATGGCAGAGGACCGAGGCGCATGGCACAGCGAACGCAGGACGGCAGGACGAAAGGACGGCAGGACCGAAGGACGCTAGGACCGAAGGACGGCAGGACCGAGCGATGGAGGACAAGGGAATGCGGCAGACGACGGAGAGAGGGACGCAGGAGCGAAGGAGTGGCAAGAGCCAGAAGCGCGCGGTGAACGAAGGCCGGTAAAGAGGAAGCGAGACCGAGCAGGATAGCGCGAAGAACATCACCATACCCCTAAGGATTGGTTAGGACCGTAATCCTTTTAGTCAGTAGGACTCAGATGGATGGCTGGTGGGAAAGATCGAAAGTACACGAAATTCTTCCCAACCGCCTCAGGACCATCAAAAGACAGTAGGTCCCAAAGATTCAGACCAAAGGAGGCAGAACACAAGGATTGCTAGGGCACAAGGCAGAAGTTCTAAAGCGCGTAAAGACCAATATATCGAGATCGAGTGAACAAGGAACGAATTACGTGTTTTACAACATGGCACCAAATATTTTGGATCGCAGCGAACGCACAAGGTCAAGGAGACAGCACCACAATTCGGGGGGGGAGAGTGTGGCGGGGGCGGCCTGGCAGCTCGTAGCTTAATCCTCGGGGTCCTCTCGCGGGCTGACGTAGCACAACATTCTGACCCAGATTGAAGATCACGTCCTGGTTCGCCGTGGCCCACTAATCTATTTATATCACTCAGGCTCCAAAATGCGTGGGCCGGTCAAACAAGCGAGATCAAGACGAGGCTAAACGGACATTCATCCTTACAACCCTTGACTCCTCCTTCATCACCTGACTCCTCCTCATCCCGTAATTTACACACAACATAACTCACAAATGGTCTACCATAACACAACAGGGGAGAGAAGCAAAAGTCATGAGAGAACGACTTAGAGTTATGTCAATCATAATGGGGCCGGTGCCCCGCTTGATGGGAGATGACCTGTTATGGGGAGGGAAAAATCTTGCAAAGTCACGAGTGAGAGGTCGTGGGCGGGGGCTCCTCTCCGAATTTCTCCCTGCCTTGATTCTACGAAAGAAGATCACTACCACTCCGCCAAGAAACTCAAACGCCACTACAATTCACGCGATCATTAAATATCTCTTCCGATACGTGATTTCGCGTTCTGGAATCACTCAATGAATCACTCAATTCCTTACGGGGGGAAAGGAATACCTTGATTACCCGGACCTTCCCCGCGAAGAACTACCACCTGCCACAATAAATTTACGAGAGGCGAAGACGTATCTGAGCGGTGTTTAAGCGGCGTGGGAATCTCACTTATACGAATCATTCAATCTCTCTTTGCTGGTGGGGAAAGATGCAAAGCCCACGTAATATAGTGACTGTTCTGCATGTCTACGTGCGTGGGAACCCAGGGAGCGATCGCACCTCCGACTGTGCACTTCCTGGACGGGAGTTCCTCCTGTCGCGGAGCTGAGATGGGCGGTGGTGCGTGGTGCGGGGCGGGGCGGGTCGCTCAGGGGCGGACGCCTCTCCCATGAGACACTCGTAAGCCGATTACGTAGGGTCGCGACTCCAAAGAGTTCGATGCGAGAGGTCTCTGCTTATGGCCCAACACTTTTCGACATCTTCCCACGCGTTCCGAAAGAACTTCTCCAGCCAGTTGGCGTCGCGCATTGTTCTCTGACAGGGCCGCTTGGAACGAACGGCGCGACTTTGGAGGGAATTAGGAGGCGGAGGAAGGCGTTTAAACACATGTCACGAAACACACGATACGGTTTGAGGTATCAAGCAAATGTTTCAATTCTATCCAGAATATTCGTTTGAGGAAACGTCCATAAATTACTCAACGCAGCTGCGGAGTAGTTTGAATCCCCCTGTAACTCATCTATAATGCGCGATTTAACCCCTCTAAATAATTACGTAACACTTTCGACCCCATCTACAACAACTAAACGTAAATTAGATACTAATAAGTATAGATGGTATTTATTTTATTTGGGTTCCTGAAATGTATGATAATTACAAAGGAAATAAGTTGGCTATTCTGACTGAATCTAACAATTAGATTGGTGACTATTTTTGATTTAAGGACGCATAAGAAATAACATTTCTGAAAAACCGTGTGCGCGCCGTCAGAGGTAACCCATGGTGAGTGTCTACTGCGTTAATTAAATTGGATTCTAGAATAAACTGTAGATCAGTTTTGAATATTTTCTTCTTAATGTAACAGATTCCCTCAACGTACCATTGATGAAAATAATAGATTCCATTTACTGTAACAACTGAAACATCCTAATTTTTAATACATTTATTTCTTTTAAATTTAATTTGTAAATAATTTAGTATAACACTAAACAATATTTCAGCGAAGTTGATAAAAAAAATCACCATTACATACCATTAAATTACCATTCCTACCTTTATGTAATGTAGCTTATTGCTGTCTCAATACTCTCTTCAATGCTCTCTCAACATTGATGAAATTACGTTGCAATGTCACGTTTACGTGTAATTTCATGGTTTTAATGAACAATTGAAATGACATGTTTTTGATTATGAAACAAAACACCACAAATATACAGTGATATTAACAGTTTTCTCCGAATTTATAAAATATCACTTATACCGTTCACGTTTCCACCCATTCATAGAGTTTGTTTATTTGCATTCTTCCGACTAGAAAGGAACCTAAACCAGTTCGTGGTATTTGTATTTTCCCGCGAAGCAGTTTTGAAACTACTGGTTAAAAATTAAGGTTAAACATTAGCCTTACTCTATAACAGGAATCCTCATCCGGTAGAGAATTCCATTTTCTGGTTAGTTGGTCAACCCGTAAAAATGCTACTTCCACAGGAATTTCTAATTTTCAGAAAGGTACTATCTCCGTTGTTACTTTCTCCTAGTCATCTGAAAAGTCATCGCCAGTTCCTTTACTTGCAGCATTCTGCGACGAACGAATAAGGAAATGACGAGTTAAAATATGATTCACAGCACGTTCGTTTAACGACACCAGTAGTAGGTTAATCATGAAAAGAAGTAAAGTCTGCACCGGAACTAAAGTATTTTAAGAAATTCTCTCGACAAAGTGACAGTAATTGCAAATACCTCTTTTACACTTTCTTAGGTTCTGTTTCTGCTTTAATGTAAATCTATAACTATCATTACATTTAAGATCTGATGCAAATAAATAATTTGTCTTCACGTTTTCGTGGGGACAGAGTGTTAGAATGGAAAAATTAGACGAACTACTTTTAGCTAAAACAAACTCCTAAATAGTTCAATGTAGATACGGTGGTGAGGTAGAAATTGCTATAAAACTGAACATTGAAAACGTATTTATATGTAGTGTTACTTTCTTTATTATCATACACGATAGTTGAATGGAACTAAATGAGTGCGTAGCTGGTTGCGTTACACAAAACAGCGAGAAAAAAGTATGTTGCAAACGGGATCTTTCTGCTGTCATTGCTATCTGGCGCGAAAAAGATTAAAAATGTATGAATTCATAAAAATGGTGTTTATCATTAAGGCGTATTGTAAATTGTATTTCGTATACGAACGTACCCCCGTTTCTATTCAACAAGATTTCTTAACTGAATCAAGGCGCTTCATCTGAGTCACGCGAGCAGAAAGTTTAAGTTACCCATAAAGGTATGATTCATTTTCTCTGCAACTCTACCGGCATCGAGAACTGCCTTTTTCCTTGATGCTGTGTACTTCACAACGTAAGAACGTTGCATGAAGTTATGCAATCTTCAGTTTTAATGTGATTTACCTCAACTAACAACTGCCTTTGGATTTTATTAAGCAGTTGTACTATGAAATTGTGAAATCCGGAATGACCACTAAACCTCTGTAAGAAATGTTAATTAATACGTTTGTTAATCATCTTCATATGAATGAAAATCTTGCGAATTTGATTACTCAATGTTTCATGTCGTCTACATTCCTCGTTTTCGTGTATGTGTTATATTTATGTCTCGTTTGACACAAAGGCTTTCAGAGAGAAGCCAACCAATTATTGACCAAACCGGCCCTCTTTTTTAAACGCATATCTTTTCTTTTCCCATCTTCTAAGCCTCCCCATTTTTTGCATTCTCTTGTTCTACTTTTCTTCTCTATTCCTCTCTATCTTTATGACGACTTCTTTTTGTGTCAGTATCTGCCCCTTATCACATTCTCCCTTTTTCCCCAAAATGATTATTTTTCACTGTGCTCTAGTGTCCGGAATTGCAATTTACTCATATAATTGTTCGTGACTGACAATTATTACTATGTATCTCCTACACTGTCCCCACCACCATACATTTTTCTGATGAGCTATTTCTTTACCCTCTCCTACTCCCTTACCCCATCTCTCTCTTTCTCTTTCTTTTCTCTCTCTTTCTCTCTGTCTTTCTTTCTCTCTCTGTCACACTAACTCACTAACACAGACACACACAGAGTGGTGTCCGGGAAGTGCGAATGCATAGGAGTGATGGCCTGCCCTGAGATGAGAATGAAAGTGGTGGGACGGGTTGCAGCACGACGGAGGTCGGAGCGCTTGGTCAAGTGGGACGCGGGCGAGACTGGGCGGATAGAAGGTGACCCGGGGACGAAATGGGATAGGGACGTGGTAGGACGAGGGACGAGTTGGGCCGGGGTTGTGGACGAGGTGGAACACGTACGATGTGGGACAGCTACGAAGTGGGACGGGGAAGAGATGGGACGAAGATGGGATGGTACGGAATGAGGTGGGACAGGTACGAAATGAGATGAGTACGAAATGGGACAAGGACTAGGTGGGACGAAAACGAGGTGGGACGGGTACGAGTTGGGACGGGGCGAAGTCTGCCTTGTGGGAGGATTTGATTTGATGGAAGTGTGGTGTATGTGGCAGGATGGGGAACCGTCAGTGACAACGTGAATGACAGGTGGGATGGGAAACGTGGGGCAGGCCTATAGCCGGGGGATGATACGAGGGGAGGTGGGGTGTCAGTTGAGGAAGAAGACAGACGTGGGGGCTGGTTGGCTAAGACATTTAAGTGGAGTCTTCAATGCCACTCACAGGCCTTAAATTTTGAGACACGACGATGGCAATTTTTCGACACTTCTGAGGTGGAATTCAACCTCTTTGAGACGGACCGCACGCGATATTTCCTTCCTCATCCTTATCCCTCCTCTTCCTTTAAACACATACACTTACTGCATGCACTACTCTACACAACACATCTCTGGAGACCACGAGGGAGTTTAAAACTTGTCCTTGCTGAGGCGGGGACCTGTTGGGGGAGATTTCTGGAGGGGGATTCCCAAAAAACAACATGAAGATCAACGCTGAATCTTATCATAGAAGGGGAATAAACACCACCATCTTCCGGAATGTAACATGCACTACTGACTTACGGAACTACTTGCCACAGTATTTTATGCTCTCAGAAAATAATATGAACTAATGTCACACATCATCACTTTTCCGGAATACTGTTGTAACTCAAAAAAAAATAGCATTGAGATTTTCGGGTAAATCGGTTTAAAATGTCGTTTTCATGATGGTTAAGTCTGTATCTCTGAGATACCAACTACCGTTTAATAGGAAGGGCATCTTTATTTCATAAACGGACTTCACCTCTATTTTTGTGGAATTATGTCCAAAAATTCAGAATTTTATAAAATTCATTACCATAAATTTAAAAAAAACAAAAGTTAATAGGCATTTACGAGTGGTAAAAGTAACACTTGAGTTTGCTAGTAGGAAAGTTTACCGAACGAGGTCGACAGACACAAGGTCGGCAGTGACACAATCCTTTGAGCAAAATAAAATAATTACGTAACGCTCACGGCGTAATACGTAACCCCCACTCCAATTTACAAAAAAGGAAAAATAAATAATATTATAGTAAAACAATTTGTGTAAATTTTATTAGTGTTGCGTATTAAAATTTGTGATAATTAGCCGAATTAGTTGACTACCGCTAATAACAAGATTGCGGACTAGTTTTTAGAATATCAAGAACGCACAGACTTAAAAATGTTTGACACCAAGCCGTTCACACGCCGTATTGTACGTCACATGAGGTAAGATTACTCCGCCAATTTAACTGGTTCTAGATTACAGATCAGTTTTATATTTTCTTTGCAATCTTACAGGTTCTTTCAAAAAATTAATGACAAATATTTCCAATAATTTTAACAATTTTAACATAAACACTTTAATTTATTTAATTAAACTTTAAGTAAATATTTAAATGTTTTAGTAAAATACTGAAAAAAGGAATTATTTCAGGAAATGTGGAAAAACGAAGTGTTACGTAACAATAACCTAATGCCCCCTACCACTATGTAAGGCGGCGTAAATCTGCCTGGTTCAACCGTATTCGGCATTAATTAATTTATGGAGGACCCTTTACGAGAGTGGTATGGATTTTATTTTCATTAAAATCCCCACTTTTTCTGAAATTGCAAAAGTTTGAATTTTTCGGCATCTTTGTACAACTACAATGTTAAATACTTCTATTTATTTATTTACGTCAAAATCAGTTAAAAACTGCGTGTGACATACTATGGGGAGAAGTTAATTTGAAGTTACGTCTATTTTTGGTGTTACAACAGTATTGCGTGCGGTGGGTGCGTAAGGGTCTTGTACGCAAAGCGAGTTTCTCGCGTCTCAACAGAATGCCGGTAGGCGCGCGCCCGTTGGAGCTCACCTGTGCTGCTTGAAGGAGTCCTGGCGCTTGAAGGCGCGCCCGCACGACTCGCACGTGTAGGTGACGTCGTCCTTGTGCGTGCGTTCGTGGATCATGAGGTTGTAGGGCTTGGTGAACCGCCGCTGGCAGTACTTGCAGACGAACTCGCACTTGGCACGCATCTTGCGGCGAAACTCCCGGCGTTCCTCCGCCTCAATGGGCATTATTGCGAACATCGCCGGCGGCGGGGAATGGCGGCGGCTGGGCGGCGGCGGACAGGGGACACGACGGCGAAGGCGGTGGCTCGGGCGGCCGATCCTGCGGAA